ATAATATAATAGTTGGGGGTTTGAACTCTCACCCAGATGCCTAAACCATTGAGCTATCTAGCAGCTACTGAGCCCTAGCATCTACTTTGAGACACTTGTTGTCTATTAATTTATTACATTTATACCCTGCACTTTCTCGAGTTCAGGGAAGCATACTATCTACACTTTATCTTCACAAGAACTCTAGGTCAATTTGAAAGAGAGAGAGAGCAGGCCAAAGTCACCCACTCAATTTTATGGCTCAGCAAGGACTACAAATTGGATTTCCTTCTCCCACCCATCTAACCACAACACCATTCTAGCTCTCACCCCTAATATTTACTCTGTACTCTGCAAACTTGGACTCTGCTATACAACATTTCAAGGTCATCCAATTTGTCATTAGGACAGAGTATGTCTGTTCAATGGACTACCAGCTCTGCCAAATGTAACACTCCTAAGTTATTGAGTAAGTCAAGCTGCCAAACTAAAGACATCCATGTCCTCCTATATTTTAGTACAAAGAGCTGCAGAGCACCTGGGGACATCACTGCAACAACCTGAGCACCAGTCGTCATGAAATCCAAGACTTGACCCGCCTTATCCAGAGACTCAAGACTGAGATGGAAAATGCTAAAAAGCAGGTGAGATGTGCATGGAACTGAACTGAAGAAGTATGATTAATATTGGACAATTGTCTGTCTGTCTGACTGTCTTCTGGTTTTAGTATATGGGAAACACGTCATCCTCCAAAACTAAAATCAACGTTTCATATGCACTCAAAAATGTTTTATTTTTTTAAATAAACTGGATGATTGACTGGGTGATTTGATCAACCCTCTGCTTGCAGGAGGACTGATGCAGGAAAGGAAACCGCACAAAAATCTTACAGTGCAAACCAGAGGACTCTGAATGAGAACAGAAAGGAGAGAAGAACTGGATTTGTTAATTCATATCTTTGCTGAGAAATGTTAAGACACAAATACTAAATTTTAGGTTTACAAATGCAGTTCTTTATAAATATTTTGGTAACACTGGAAGCCACCGCTTCAAATAACTGGCAATGTTTTTATAATGTTTAATTAGATCTTCCAAAAAAATTACCTGCCTATATCACATATCTTTCCTGTTATGGCTTGCACTTAAGTATTTTAGCTATTTTTCTTCCAATTCTCCCCTGCAAAAAACCCTTCTAATTATACCACTATGACTCCTTTTACATATGTCAGCATTTCTGAAGATTGCTTCTGAGACACAGGCAGTTTGTGAGCAGGGTGGAAGGGATCCTCCCTGAAACTTTGGGGGTAAACAAGCCCTCCCTCATCCTGTTCCACCTGCTCTGATCATAACCCCAATTTCTTTTTCTGGACCAGTTCTTTTCCTTATCATAGAATAATAGAAAAGTGAAGTTGGCAGGGGCCTACAAGACCATCAAGTCCAACCCCCTGCTCAACGCAGGAATACAATCAAAGCATATCTGCCAGGTGATTGTCTAAGTTTTTCTTGAACGCCTCCAGTGCTGGAGCACTCACCAACTCCCGAGCTAACTGGTTCCACTGACGTACTGCTCTAACAGTTAGGAAGTTTTTGAACATCTTATAAATGTGTCCAAAACAAAGTTGTACCAATTCATTTGGGAAAGTGAAGGACCCTGTAGCTGATTGGATGGTGTGAAAGTCCTTTGCATCAAAGACTTCAGACCTTTTTGCTGTTGCTCATTTGCAAGTATCTGAAGTAAACACAGAGTTTGGACTCTGTGGAGATGGCACACAACTGAACTTTACTTTCCTATTCAATTACAATCTATTTTCCCTGCACAGCAGCACTTAGTGGCTTGTGGTTACGCATCTCACATCACAGAAGAGTCACATACTTGGCCATGATCTGATATGTCTAGACGAGCAATGATTCCCAGTCTTGGATCCTCAGATTTGGACTAAAACTCCAGGGTGCCTTTACCACTAACTGTGCTGGCCAGGATTTCTGGGAGTTGCAGTCCAAGAACATCTGGGGACCCAAGGTTGGGAACCTCTGCTCTAGAACAACCTTGCTCAACCTGATGTTCTTCAGATGTTTTGGACTACGAGTCTTAAAATCTTCGGTCAGCAGGGACAGTTGTAGTACACTGTAGTACCAATTTAAGGAAGATTGGCCTAAAATTGTCTTAAAGAGGCAGCACATAGGCAAATTCCCGCTCCTCTTTGGAAAATCTGCTGGTATGGACTACAACACCCAGAATCCAGCAGCCAGAATGGTCAGTGGCCATGCTGTCTGAAGGCTTTGCAGAGAGTCATAGTCCAAAAAAGACACTTTCCCAAACTCTTGCCTTCTAAGTATTTTTGCAATTTCATTATGCTGTGTTTTCTTTTGATTGACGGACTCATTTTTTTAAATCTGTGCCCTCCCAAGATTGAAGTGTTGCAGACTGCCATTACGGATAATGAAGATCGTGGGGAGTGTGCCCTGAAAGATGCCAAGGCAAAGCTGGCTGAGGTGGAGAATGCCCTGCAGTCCACCAAGGATGAACTGGCGCGGCTGTTAAGGGATTACCAGGAATTGCTGAACATGAAGCTGGCCTTGGATATTGAGATAGCAATGTACAAGTCACTTCTGGAAGGAGAAGAGAGCAGGTGCGTTGGGGAGGCAGCGGGACGAACATCCATACATTTCTATAGCCCTTGCAAGGATGTTACTTTCTTTCCGAATATATAGCGTGATCAAGAACTGTTAAATTCATCACCTGATATTTGGAGTCCAAGAAGAACTACTGTTGCTGTTATCAGTTAGTTCTGACAATTTATGACAAATTTTTATTGACAGGAACATGGAGAAAATCCTTTTCTGGGCATCAACCCCCAGAACCCAACAGCCAACACAGAAGGATTCTGGGAGATCTAGGCCAAAAACCCCCCACAAAAAACTGATTTGTTCAAACCCTATTTAGTATATAAATTCTAGAATATGGCCAAAAAAGATATACGCTTATTGAATTCAGAACCCTTGCCTTGAAATCTATCCTTTAAAGATTTATATTTTTTAAAAAATGTAATATTTGAAACAAAATAAATTTACATTTCCCCCTGATTTCTACAATTTTCAAAGGCCCATCACTGACGTCTTAGAATTACTAACATATGTGTATATTTTCTTTTCATTACAGGATTTGTAACTCTACTCCTATTAATATATGTAAGTAACTTTAATAATGCATCCTGTAGGTTGCCTTTTTGGGTTGCCAGGTCAGCAGTACCTCATCCCCCTAACAGGTCAGGATCAAAGCTGGAGACTCAAGGGTAGGTCCTTGTGGTGTCACAGTGGTAGGAAAGATGGATGGATGGATGGAGATGGGGTCTAGGTCTTCTCCTGGGCCAAATGGAGCCAGGCCCAGATGAATCCAGGTAAATGACCCAGAACCCAGGTATGACCCAATTAACCAGGTAGCCTGGCTGCCCAGGGCCAAGAATAACAACTTCTCTCCCTTTTATGTCGGGAAAGGTGGCTGCAGCACTTGCACCACTCCCACTAGGACTTACATCCCATGCGACTTCAACTATAGTAGAAATGACACATGAGGATTTTTCCGAAGCCCTACACTCCTTCTGTGGCTAGTGGAAAGCTCACCATCAGCCACCGATTCCCCTCTCCTGGGCCTGCACCACTGCTGTCAGGACTTATGAAACAAAAAAAAATCTTAAGTTACTAGTGCTCAAATCACTGCTTGCTCCAGTGGCAACATGGGCCCATGTGTATTCACATATAAACTCCCCAGCCTCTTCCTCTTGGCTTTCTGGTGTGGCAATATTTCTCAAACACAACACATGTAAACCCCTTTGTGCTGAGCCTGTGAGTCCTGGTGCTGACAGGGAAGGGGAAGAGATTTCACTGCCTTCTCCAGTGCTGCTCACTCTGAGATTTGTCTCCTTAACTGGAGATTTGGGGAAAGCATTCTAGCGCCCTGATATTTTATCCAGTGCCCCATGATCGGGCAGCCCAAAGGACTCAAATTTCACTGCTTGACATCCTAGCAGTTTGTGGGCATATAAGTAACAAGAAAAAAAATTCTCCTTCCTTCCTTGTAGCTGTGACCGGTTGTCCCAATATCGCTGTATCTGGTGGACATCTGCATAGTGGAGCTGGACTTGGAAGGAGACGTACCTACAGCCCCGGTGCAGGAGGCCATGGCTATAGAAGAAGACACATGAGCAGCAGTGGAGGATTCAGCTGTAGGAGTGGACAGCCAAGCTACAAACTGGGATTTAGCTCAAGGAGTGGGGGGAACCTTACAAGGCACTCAGGGAGCTCTGGATTTGGGCATCACACTCCCTCTACAGTAGATCTCTGCACAGTGAGGGATTGTGGTTCGGTGAATGTAGGGGCTACTGGAGGTAGAGGCTACAGTTCTAGAAGCAAGGGGTACAGTAACAGAAGTGGGAATTATAGCAGGACACATGTTGCCTCCACCCCAGGGGTCTGTGGCACTGCAAGCTACGCAAGTGGCAGCTATATCTCCCATGGTGCAGGAGGCGGAGCAAGTGAGGGCTTCACCTCTGGGAATGCTGGCATATATTAGAGGAGTGGGCACAAGTCTTCCCAAACAGCCCCATCCTCTTAATTGGCCAAAACAAAGGGTGGGGCCGTTTCCCCACATTATTTTTTCCAGGGGGAAGAGAAATTCAACAATTTCTTATGGACGTGAAGACTAGTTCTCATCAATTGCTTCCATTTTTCCTATGGTTTGGGGCCTGTTTGGGTTTGTTCTTTTTTCCTTTGCCCCCCCCCTTTTGGTGCTGGCAGTCGAGATTGGAAAAGTTCCTTTTTTATTTTAAAAAAGCCTAGAACCACAAATTCTTCAGCCATGCAGCATGACGACATGCATGTTGGCTGGGTGTTCTAGGACTTGTAACCCAAAATGGAACGTTTCTAAACTCTGGTTGGTGTTGCGGCAGCCATTTGTCATCTTCCACCCCACTCTACCATTCCAAGGCATTGTGAGGATGGGGGAGGGGGTAAGATGGCAGTTGCCACAAAAGATGTTGAACATACTGTATTCAGAAATGTTGAGGGAGAGGGGAACTGTGGCACCCTGAGCACCCTGACTTTTCCCTTCTCTTGGAAGCCATCTCTCTGTCTCACTCAGACTGAAATCCTCTTGTGTAGCTAACAAAACAGTGTGACACTGTGGAAGCAATTTGCCTCAAGTTATGAATTCATTGTAGGCATCATCACATAACTGAGTATGTGACAGATAAGGTCTATGGTGATTTCTTAAGTTGGGGTCACTTCACAACCAAAAGCTACGCCATTTGTGTTACAGTGGCCTAACAAGGCAGGAGAATTTTGGCCACAGCCTGATTTGCTCCCTCTCAGCCGGTCTGTTCTGCTTCTGGCATGTTATTCTGTGGCCAGTATTCAGCCACAAAACCATTCACCTTCTAATTGTGGGATGGGGCTGTCAACACAATCTTTTCCCTCAGAACAAGCAATAACATGTCTTGGGCTGGCCCTGGATTAGATCATGAGGACCATCTTTTCATTCCTTTGGGCAAATCTAAATATGATATTATACCAGATTGGTTATCTCAGAATCTTGGAAGGAGTCTTGAAAATCATTGTTTGCTGATGATGATGCTGACAGGAAAATTCTTAAGGCCCTTCAGAGGACTGCAGGTCCCCATGTTTTTGGTATTCTGCATGCAGCTGCACCATTTCTCTGCTCCTCATTATCCTTTTCCAGCCATACACTGGATATTTTACAATTTTAGATCTGTTTAGGTTTCCAAAAGAGGGTTAACTTTAATATTTGAAGGGAGAGCTAGTCTCCCTGCTTCTCCCCCCCCCCATCTTCATTCTCCATGTGTGAAGAGCAATAGTGTGAAGAAAAGCCAGTCTCTTACATGTCAGAGCTTTCCACATGATTGAGAACTCCTCGAAATCAGAATTTCTGATCACAGGAAGAAACCCACAGATGGCAGAGACTCCCACACTTTGGAGTTTCACTCTCCACATATGAAGAACAATGGCACGGGTGGGAGGCTAGCCCTTTCACCCTCTTCATGTGTTCAAGTTAATCTTTTCTGAATACATGAGGAGGGCTTTAAGTTAACTACCACCACCACCTATATTTAACATAGATTGTAGTTCTGTGAGAAAGAACTTAATTCCTGGTGACTAGGGATGGCACCTTGCCTGCCCTACCAATGATGGGACAAACCACCGTTCTTTCCTTGGTCCATGAACATGAAGTGTTTGGGTGGCAGTTAAAGGTTCCTAAGAGCCATCTCTGTTGATAGGCAGGTACATATGAACTACACACCTTCTCAACTCAAAGTGATTTGCAAGTATGAAATCACATCTTGATCAGCTGAACAAAGGACATTAATTTATCTAAGGTACACGTCTTATCCTGCACAGTATGCATGGAAGAAAAGATTGTTTTAGCTTTATGTATATATGTAGTGATATTCCATAACCATAGCTTATCAAAGCTTTTTCATTTCCTCTTTTGCCTGCAAATGGACAGTTTAAGCACACCATCTTGCTCCACAGTATTATTTTTAATGTGAGATTTCAGCTGAGGGTTAAACTCCACGCAGTGTTAAAGGTGCAGTGTGCAGCTAATCTTTACCTGTGTGTCCCCATCTCAATTAAATGTGCAGAGGCCTGATTCAAATCAAGGGTCCTATGCATGCTTACAGAGGGGCTATTCCTCCCATTAAATTTAATTATACTGTATATGTGCTAGTTTGTGCAATGCTCTGCTTCGCTATGTACCCAACCCACAGGGCTTAGGGGAATATAAACAGCAATTTGAGCTCAGGAAAAGATGCATAGAAATTCTCTAGTGATACTGTCTGCGGATTATAAAAAACTGTGTGCTGAGCTGAAACTGAGATTTACTCTTTCTTTCTCAGACAACAGGATCAGACCCTTATGGGCCAAGTTTGTTTTCCATGGATGATGATTTCCCTAGGACATTATTTGGCTGGGTACTTATGAAATTCTCCATGGCTTGAGGAGAAAGAATGACTTGGTCGTGTTTCCAGAGGGCTCCACATGTACATCAATGATCTTAATTTTAAATTTCCTGGATTTTCTGCAGATTGCCATGTACACCATTCCCCACCTTTTGGATGTGTGCAGGTCCAGTGCAAATGCACATCGATGAAATTGTCACCAAAAATTATTGGCTCACGGGATCAGGTGAGCACGTTCTCCCCTGTTCTGATCAGCCTGAAGACAGGTCTCCCATTGTCCCATCTTGTTTGTTCCTGAGCCTGACAAAATGATCTCAAACCAAGTTTCGTGATGTTGCATGATGTACATGTTGGGATGGAGAAAGCCTGTTACGTTACTGTTTCTTTGAGAATTTTTATTTCTCTACAAAAAAGCCACACTCCATTCTTGCTCTGCGTCTTGCTTTACATAAATAAACACTTTCCTCTCTAGTGCTCTGAATAAACTGGCCATTCTAGTTCACTGATTTTCTTCGTAGCATTTGGTGATTTTATTGGGTCATTAAATATATTACAACATGGCCCCAAAAAAGACAGGATCAAAAGATTCCCATGGATCAGCAGCAGCAGCCTTGGCTGGTGGATGGGCATCACGAAGAAGACAGACCAAGGATTAGCAACTGTGGCCCTCCAGATGTTTCTGCCCCACAGTGCCCATGGTTGGCCACAGTGGGCTTGTGTTGATGAGGGCTGGTAGAGGCTGTAGGCCAAAACCATCTGGAAGGCCACTGTTGCCCATCCTGATGTAGGCAAATGAAACATGTTCCAAGGAAGGTAATGATAATAGTTAGAAGTGTGTGAGGATCAATGCTTATGAGAAAGGATTGAAGAATTTATAGAAGAAGACACAGCAGGGCAGGGACATAACAACATTTTTCAGATATGGGATCCTGAATCGCTCTGATACAGAAGAGGGGAATATATGTTCTTTACTACCACAGAAGGCAAGATTAAATCTGGGAGTTTTAAATCAGAATAGTGTAGATTTTGGTTGGAAAACAGGGGTTGGAAAAGTTAACCTTTTGGACTACAATGTCCAGAAATTTCCCTTGACAAGCAGGTCACTGCTATTGGCTGGGATATTCTGGGATTTATAGTCCATAAAAGCCCTTTTGTGTTCAAAGCTTTGCACATTACATGAAGTTGCTTAACAACAAGAGAAGCCAGACAATGGAATGGATTTCCTAGGAGGAGGAAAATCTGGCATTAGACTATTCCTTGCATTGGGAATAGTCTAATGCCAGATTTTCCTCACCAAGCAAGGCAGTAAATGGGATGGTTTACCCCACCAACTCTATGAGTGTATCAACATGGTGGCCGAAGTGCTTATTGATAGACACGTTACCATGGTGATGGACGGATTTAAGCAATATACACATGAAAATAAGACAAACAAACATCCAGACATCATAGAGAAATACTAGAATATGAATCAGCTATCACCACCTACTGGGAAAGGGCTGAAATAATTTAGAAGGGAAAGACTCAGGCACATTCTTCTTTTGCTCATGAAACATCGGGTTGGGATTTAAATTTTCCTTCCCAACAGTTCCAGAAGTTGTTGGAAGACCTTTTGTGGTTGGGTGTAGGATGTCAGTTACAAATTCCAGGAAGCACCTAACCTCATTTTTCTTGAAATGTATCAGCAGTGTCAAAAATATGAGCATGTGACAGAAAAACAGTTTGGTTTGTGTAACCCAAAAAGTTTGGAAGCATATTCATGGCATATTTTTAAAATAGTTGGTTAATTTGGGATACAGGCTAAACTGAGCTCCTGAACAACAGGGTTTGGAAGGCTTACTGCAGCTTCCACAAAACCTACATCATGCCCTCTCCGCCACTGGCTTCTTTCCCAGACTTACCACAGTATGTGGTAATAGTCCGATGGGCTTGTTGCCACGGCAGTTGCACCAGTCCAGCACCAGTCAGTCACTTGTGCTGACTAACTGGTGCTGGAAAATGGAAAATTCCTTTTTGATTGGTAGATGAAGAGTGCAAAGAATGCTCTATATTCTTTGTCCTTCCTGATTTAAGTTGCGATAAGGAATTTTCTAGCCTCACAAGAGTTCTCATGTCTGCTGAGAAAGTGAAGCAAGGAGCTTTTATCTTGTTTAGGCTTCTGCAATTTCCCTCAAGCTAGTCTCTATGCAAAATGAATCTTCTTTCCCTTTGAGGAGCAAAGTGTGTACCCACACCGTACAAACATTAACTCGAATATCTCATTGACCTACGGGAGAGAAGAAAAATGATGTAGGAGAACAGGAGAAGCAAAGGTTTCCATCTTGTGGATGGATGGATGATGGTTAAATGGATAGAGAAAAGACAGAAAATGGCTGAAATCCAACAGTCAATCACAACCAAAGGAGACCCATTAAACCTGGTCTTCTCCCCTACCCCTATATAGGAGAAGAATGCATGGGTCTTGCACAGAATGGTATTTTATGTTCATGGCCAGCAGAGAAGGAAGATTCAAGGTTGCGTCTTCTTCCCTGTGTTTTTTTCTAATTTTTAAAATAAGTTTTATTTTATCAAACAAATAAGAAAAAAGCATACGCGAATTACCATTTCATAACTCATTATCATACATTATGTAACCACCATCCCCTCCATTTGGGACTAGTTCCTTGCTCTTCACTCTTCAAATCTTCCTATTTCTCTCCAGTAAGACATTGATTGTTCTCCCGGTGCATACCCTTTCCCTTTCTATGTTGTGTGTTTTTTAAAAGGAAGCTGCACTGTGGAATCAAGATGAAGAAATAAACTTACGTGGTCTTTTATTACAAAAAATACCCTTTTCTGTTCTTCCATCCTCTGTGTATGTTTTACACAGCTGCAGAAAGGAAGTAAGCAAAGGCTGTCATTTACTAAAGATTTGCTCTGATTATATACCTCCCCACCTTGGTGCTTCTTCACCTGTAAGTTACAATGACTTAATTGTCTGCTTTGTCTCGAAATAGAACAAGTTATGAAATGCCTTTCTCTGGGTATTCTAAGTCACCAAAGGAAAGATGGTTTTCATCTCAAAGTTATACACTGTACAGGGTGTTGATGGATATACGCTTGATCTGTCAACAGATCAATTTGGTTTTGACAGTATGTGCTGACTTTTCTCACCCACGAACAATTAAACCAACCAAGATTTGAGTCGGTTGCATCAGTGGACAGAGAAGGTGCTCCTGCCTCTTGGCTATCACATGGGGGGCAAGATGCTTGTTCTTAAGAAGAGCAAAGGAAAGAAAACTCGACATCTGCCTCTTGGCTATCACATGGGTAAGAAGAGCAAAGGAAAGAAAACTCGACACCAACACCTCATGTGTTGTGTGCCTGGAAGGAGTGGACTTCCATTTCTGACATCAAAGAGAGCAGTGCTTCTGGTTTTACCAGTTTCTGTTCCCATCAGTTTTGGCAGACTCCAAGACAGGTTCCACGTCTACTTGAGCTTGGCTTTTAGAAAAGGCATCTTGGATGGAAGTCCACTGGAGGGCACCTTCCAATTGTGCTGCACCACTATTCTTTTTTCTTTTGATTCAGAACTATTTATGCTGAGAGGAAATGTTACCACACAGGTATGCATACTGACAGTTTCCCCATCATTGTTCTTTTTCTACTACTATAAACATTTCTGGACCGCCTTTCATCCCAGCACAGGAGTGGGTGAAAGTTAACTCCAGAGGCTCGAGGGCTGCTTCCCCACCCTGGGAAGTATGGGGGCCATTTTGAGCCCAAAATGAATGAACAGACAAAAGTTACAACCCTGAGGAAACAAAACTGACATAGCCAGACGTCTACTTCTGGTTTGATCAAAATCAAGGTGCAGTCCCTCTGAAACATCTTTAAATGGTGAATCACAAACCCTGCAAGCTTCCAGGACTGGCAATTCAACATTTCTTGAGAAAAAAACGAAGAGCAGGTGGGGATTACAAGTTGAAATTCTAGCTGTGGGACTGTCTGGATTCATGATCTCCCAACCTTGCCCTATGGATTCCAGGACAGTGTTAAACAATAAATAATTAATAGGTTGTTATGGTTTTTTGGTCTGTTTGGCCATGTTCTCCAGAATTTTCCCAAAGTCATACATTTCTTTATGGACATCGAGGAAAGAACTAAAACAAGTTAGACTGAAAACACAATAAAAAATGAAGCTAAAAAAATATAATTGTTGCTTATCATTATCTTAAGAACTAAATTTTTGTTAGGTTAGACTAAAAACACAATAAACAATGAAGGTAAAAAATATATAACTGTTGGTTGTTGTGGGTTTTTCGGGTAAGAACTAAATTTTTGTTATTTTCAGTCAAAACTCCCACCACATCAAAACTACTAGAATATGGGGACGTTCATACTCTCTCTACCATACAATGCTTTCTCTTCTCTTCTTTGACTCCAGCAGGCAGATGCAGTCAGTCAGCAGATATACTCCATGAAAGGAAAGGACAAAAGTGTGTGTGAGAGAGCTGATTCCAACGAAATGGGTGGGGGTGGGGGCAAAAATAATCCCTAGGAGGCCTGCTACCACAGGCAGATTCCTTGGTGGCAGCATCAAAAATACTGTATATAAAGAAATTCAGAAAAACACTCCTCAAAAGGAAAGGAACCAAGATGGAGGCACAGAAACAGGTGGCACAATCCAAGATACAGGGTGCCAGATGCTCACAAACCCACTACGAAATATAGAATTCCTCACTGGTTTCCAGATCCTGTATCCCACCAGACTGACTGGCAGCAGCAGACCTCACAACACTATTGGACGAAGAATTTCCTATGTGATTTGACAGGCACAAGGCAAAAGAAAAGTTTAATGAAAGGAGGAAACAGAGAAGAACAAAACAATTGTGCCTCTATTTCATTAATATGAATAATTTGTATTTTACAAGATCTCTTTTATGAATCAACAAACAAACATGACAACAACAAAAAAGCCTCTTTCATGTTTTCTCCTTTCATTGAAAAAAAAAAGACCAATCTCTAATGACATTCTTTAGGAAGGATGTTCCAAAGTTGATAATCCACCAAAGGGGAGAAAAAACCCTCACTTTTGTACAATTACAATGTACTTCACCAACTGATGTTACTAGGCTTCTTCCAAGCATCTTAATAATATAGGCAAGAGTTCATGGTGGCAAGTGCTCCTCCAGTTGATATAAATTCTAATTCATCAGCAATAATGGTTGGTAAAGATGTAAATCCTGACTATTCTCACATATTTGCCAAAATTTGTTCTTTTTTTGCACAAAATGGGAGAACATGTGAAATTTGCACAGTTTTGCAAATTGTGCAAATTGCCTTAGACTAGGATAACAGCTTCCTTCCGATACTAGATGGGTTGCTTGTGTGTTGTTTAACAGCCAGCAAATTTTTCTGTGTTTGTTGTGTGGAAAGTACATAGGGATGTTTTACACACTTTACAGAAAAGTGATGGAGAGAAAGACCTCTGTTCTCAGCCAGAGGTATCAAATCTTGTGGGGCTTTCAGAGTCTTCTTTGAGGTATCATAATGTCAAGATAACTTAATTCAGCAACAACGAGGAATTTAGCAAATACCCTTTCCGTCCTTAGTTTATGGTTCTTCAGACTTTGGAGACCAACTTAGGAGAATCCATGTTCTTGGAATATGTCATATACAATACTATACTGAGCATAACTTTACCCACATTGTTCACAGTGCACCATAAAAGGAGATGCAACATACATCAGATTAAAAAGATAATTAAGGAGGGGGAAACTCCGCCTCTTTCTTTCCACTGTGTTTAGTCATTTAGTCGTGTCCGACTGTTCGTGACCCCATGGACCAGGCGCTCCTATCTTCCACTGCCTCCCGTAGTTGTGTCAAATTCATGTTGGTTGCTTCGCAAACACTGTCCAGCCATCTCATCCTCGGTCGTCCCCTTCTCCTCTCCCCGTCACATTTTCCTAACATCAATGTCTTTTCCAAGTAGTCTTCTCTTCTCATGAGATGGCCAAAGTACTGGAGCCTCAGCTTCAGGATCTGTCCTTCCAGTGAGCACTCAGGGTTGATTTCCTTTAGAATGGATAGGTTTGTTCTCCTTGCAGTCCAGGGGACTCTCAAGAGCCTCCTCCAGCACCACAATTCAAAGGCATCAATTCTTCAGTGGTCAGCTTTCTTTATGGTCCAGCTCTCACTTCCATACACCACGACAGGAAAAACCATAGCTTTGACTGTACGGACTTTTGTCGGCAAGGTGATGTCTCTGCTTTTTAAGATGCTGTCAAGGTTTGTCATCGCTTTCCTCCCAAGAAGCAGGCGTCTTTTAATTTCATGGCTGCTGTCTCCATCTGCAGTGATCATGGAGCCCAAGAAAGTAAAATCTGTCACTGCCTCCATATCTTCCCCTTCTATTTCCCAGGAGGTGATGGGACCAGTGACCATGATCTTAGTTTTTTTGGTGTTGAGTTTCAGGCCGTTTTTTGCACTCTCCTCTTTCACCCTCATTACAAGGTTCTTTAATTCCTCCTCACTTTCTGCCATCAGAGTGATATCATCTGCATATCGGAGGCTGTTGATATTTCTTCCGGCAATCTTAATTCCGGCTTGGGATGCCTCCAGTCCAGCCTTCTGCATGATGTATTCTGCATATAAGTTAAATAAGCTGGGGGACAATATACAGCCTTGTCGTACTCCTTTCCCAATTTTGAACCAATTAGTTGTTCCACTAGTTTAAACCAAACTATGCTGTCGTTGAACTCTTTGAAAAACCATCCCAGGGATGAAACCATCACAAAAGATAGGCTGGCCATGACTTCTTCACTTCACTATGGCTAAAATCTGGTTGCCATAAGCTTACACTGCACAACCTTGATGATGTCATCCCTTGGCAAAGGACATGTTTAGTTTAACAAAATGTAAAACTTTCTATGCCTTCCTTTTCAGATTTCAAGGCTCCTTAGGGACCCCTTTTGCCCTTTGGAAGCCTTGAACATGGAAGGGGATAGAACCTTCACATCTGAAAATCACCACCAATGGGTTTATATTTATTTATTTTATTTATTTTATTTCTATCCCGCCTATCTGATCAAATTAGACCACTCTAGGCAGCTTACAATAAAAACAACAATATGTTTTCTGTTTTCCATTTTCTCTGTCTCCCCCACATTTTGCACAAAACCTCTTTACAGCAAAATGTCCTAGATCTGTTTTCTTTGTGAAGCCAAATGTACACAAATTATTCTTGATGTGCTAGCAACAATTAAAAAGAAACAGAAAACTTCCTCTCCCTTCCCCTTCACAGGCAAGCAGCAAAGAAGCTCTCAATTTTTCAAGATCACTAAGTGGCTTCAGCAAAGGGACAGTCAACTATCCACTTTTGGTTCAGTCCCAACAGTCATGCACACTGGAACTGAACCAAAGCAGAGCAATCCTGCCTACATAAAAACAAACAAACAAACAACAACAAAAGACACAGTAGTCCCTGACAGGACCCAGGTAAGTTCAGTAAAGCATCGATCAGGTGTGGGCATGAATGTCATGCAGTCACCAGGAAAAGGAGCAAACCAGCCTTTTTCTCATCCTAGACCAAAATATGGGGCAAACACCCATACGATAGCAGTCTCAATCTGGAGTGATTTGTATTCCAAAGCAATTTGCAGATCTTCCATGGATTTGCATTAAAAAACCTACCTGGCTACAACTTTTTGTTTTGTTTTGTTTACACCCTGATCTACATGGAATTTAGATTTCTGATAGATCCTGACAAGGCGATTAAACCTGCCATATTTCACACCTAGTTTCAGAGGTTGTGTACTAAACACCTTGAAAGTCCCCCTCACCCCCCCTGTGAAAGGCTGAACCACTTTGTGCCCCATCCAATTCAATGTGTCCCTTGGATACAAATCACCTTGCAAATTTGCTTTTCTCAACCAAAAAGCCTATTTGGCCATTCCACTTTGCCCTCGTCCTTGTTCCCAACCTTCATTTCCTTGATTTTCTTGAACTGAAACTTCCACAAATCCTGGCCAGCACAGCTTCTGGGAGTTTTATTCTAAGAACATCTGGGGATCCAAGGCTGGGAATCACAGCTCTAGGTCCTAGATAAATATAGAAACCATTATATCATGCTGGGCCTTCAGATTCAGAGATTGCCTTAGTGAAAGGAAACAATTACGGGGAACATCTGTTCTTCTTGTTGCTTCTAGTGCTGCTTTTATTATGATGATTAAGATTATTAACATTTAGGTCTCAGAGCTTAATGCTCTACTCTCAGTAAATAACTTTCAGTGAGAGATTGTCATTAACCTTACATAACATACTGTTGGGGAACAGGAGAAAAACAGGTAAGCCCACAGGAAACTTGTTATAGTGTCATCAGTTTCAGTCAAGATAATCCTTAAAATGCACATTTCTGTCCCACTGGATGTGCAAACAAAGCATTTTAAATATAAATATACCTTACACATTCACTTGGATTCATATATTCATATATACTGTATATGTATAAAGTTGACAGTTTTGTAGTGACATTTCTTGCTGGGAGGCAAACCCAAACCTCATTTTATGAGGCCTCATTTTATTCTTTTTTTTAAATTCAATTTTTTCTTTCCTGAATTAACCAAGCCCAGATATTGAAAACAGATATAAGGCAGAGGTTGGGTAGTGTCATACTAGAGGAGACCTGTTTCTTCTCTCCTGCAGGGCTGACATCATCTCGTATGATTTGGGGAATGAGCCGACAACTACATGGGTCAAGCCCAGTCAATGGGAGATGCTCTTTCTCTGCTGCTTCTAATGGATGTCTCCTAAGCAGATATAGACTGAGTGCCCCTCCCATATCCCTTCCTTGTGGAATAAGCAGAGTTGATGGTAATAGCACCAGGAATATCTCAGATATAGGTGGTGGAAGCAGAAAGTGCTCTCATGGAGGCCACCTAATCAAGTGTCACACAAACCTTGGTGTTGGGCATCACATGACCTATGGTCCTCAGAGCTATGTTGACATGCATTATGGTATTCCCAGAAGCTATGCTGAGCGTAGAAGTAGTGCTGCCAGCTATCAAAATGAGTGCCACCATGTTCTGCCCGTCAGCGAAGACCTCTTAAAACCATTCTGTGTGGGTGTTGACCCTGAGATCCAGAGACTACGAGTTGAAGAGAGGGAACAGATGAAACATCTCAACAACCAGTTTGCTTGCTTCATAGAGAAGGTAAGAATATGGATGGCTGTTTGTTTGCGTGTTCATAGATTCATTCAGAACATGATTTCACCAGACCAGGAGGTGCTGGCACTGACAGCTTTTTTTTTTAAATTATTTTTACTGAAAGCATACTAGATGACATTTTTCCATAGGATGCTTGATGGTAGTATGTATTACAGTTTTTCTTTTAATTTTTATTTTTACTGAAAGCATACTAGATGACACCTTTCAGAACATCCTAAGGTTGATTTTGAAGTTTTCTTTTTTATTGTTGCAGTATGGCATGATGATGCTTGTGCTATTATAATAACAGGATTTGTCATTGCTAAATCTGGAGTATCTAGAAACATGTGAAACTTCCACAAATAATTTAATATTTTGAGTTTAGTAATAAAAATTCTAAATTATTGGCAAATTACATTCAGAAAAAGAAGTCCAAGTTGCAAAGTCCTTGCTTTTAAGAGGCAAAGGTGGTCCAATTTCAGGTCCGCCAAAATCAGTCATTCAGCAAAATATATTTTTTAGGAAGACTTACACATCTGTTTCCCTTAATGAATTAGCAGAGAGTCATTGTTCAAGTACATTAAATCCTCCTAATTTTTCTTATGCTCATCTCATTCAACCAATTTCCCTTCATGAACTCCCTGAAGAACTAAGAATGAATGAATGTATTCAGTTTATGGTCTGGGACCATGTACATGAGTGTGCATGTACATCTTTCAGCTCCCCATCAGCATCAAATGGAAATATTGCTCATCAGATTCTCTCCCCACCACACACCTTTTCCACATTATACCCAAGAAAATCATCATACATAAAATGTGTGTTTATATCATTGGGGAAAACATAGAGGAAATGGTACACATGATTACAAAAAATACATCAATAACAGTTATGTTATAGAGGAAAAGGTACACATGATTACAAAAAATACATCAATAACAGTTATGTTTTATACCCAAGTAAATCATCATACATAAAATGTGTGCTTATATCATTGGGGAAAATATAGAGGAAAATGTACACATGATTTTAAAAAATACATCAATAACAGCTATGTTATGAAAAGTTTGTACCAAAATATATCAGTATTCTATATGTGAAAGTAGGGATGAGAATAAAAATGAAGAGGAGAAAAATCTTTTAGTTGCAATTGTGAATTTCGATGAGATGAGAATACTGCTGAGATTCTAAGAAAAGCAATGAAAGCCGAAATGGAATTCATGGCATGAAATCTTTTGTCCATAATAATATGAGATCCACAGTTCCCAAAATTCTTTGGCTGGATGCCGTGGTGAGTGGTAAGTTATAATGGTTGGTTTCAAACTAGTCTAGACAGGTCATTAAAATATTAAAGAGCTCAAGGACACTGGAGACTAGAATGACAGATGAGGGGAGTAATTTTGTTTGCCATCCCTTTTGGACTCTACACCTGGCGAGCCTCACTTTCTGAAGGCAAGTTTTTATTTTATTTTATAACCCCACTATCAATATCATTGGATGTTCAGGAATATATTTATCAGCACAAATACTACAATTCAACAGCTGACTTCTCAAAGTATCATCCTCTCTATTCTGAAATAAAAACTAACAAAGGATCCCAAATTTTAATAAAATGTTATTTCATTTCTCTTCTAAGCAGTCTAAGACGAGCAGTCAGTTTTTCCATTAGTGCTACTGGCCCTATTCTATCCAAAGATCTTCAGAGGGAAAGTCCTAGAGCATTTTCCCAGGATGGGGTAATTTCAATTCTCGTAGCCCCTACAAGAATCGCTGCCAACTCTTTATGAATGAAATCCTCACTATCTAGAGTAATTAATGAGAACCTGCTGAATCTCACTGAGAAATATCCACAGGTGAAACACCTAAGCCTGGTTCAGAATGGCTTTGATCCCAAAGAGAGGAGTGAATGGCAAGTCTCATGGGGACCTTTAAAAAGCCTACCTGTAATCTTGAACATTTCTCTGTGAAATAGATATACAGTATTATCAAAGGACACAAGGCAGTTATTTGCAGGGTACCAATCAGTTTAATGAGTAATGGGTAATATTTGTTGAGGACAAGAATTTGAAAGTGAGAAGTAGAACCCTTTGCTTGTCATGACTTGTTCACAAAAGCATAGGTTGAATTGATTAAAAAATTCATAGAAATTCATATTATTTGCTTTATTAAAAAAACACAGCACAAGACTTTTATTTTATTTTATTTTATTTATGTTATTTATTCAATTTGTATCTTGCTCCCATTAGTGTCGAGGCACTACTCTGGGCATGTTACAACGCGTGTACAGTGGTGCCTCACTAGACAGTTACCCCGCATGACAGTTTTTTCACTAGACATTGACTTTTTGCGATCGCTATAGCGATTCGCAAAACAATGATTCCTATGGGGGAATTTCACTGGACAATGTTTGGTCCCTGCTTCGCAAACCAATTTTTGCTTGACGACAATTTTGACAGCTTCCTCCGCGGTCGCAAAACAGGTGTTTTTGGGACCTAATCTTCGCAAGACAGCAATTTAAACAGCCGATCGGCAGTTCGCAAAGTGGCTTTCCTATGGCCAATCTTTGCTAGACAACGACGATTCTTCCCCATTGGAACGCATTAAACAGGCTTCAATGCATTCCAATGGGGAAGTGCTTTTTGCTAGACAATGATTTCGCTAAACAGCGATTTCAGTGGAACGGATTATCATTGTCTAGTGAGGCACCACTGTAATAGAAAACAAAAATAAAGGTAGAAACATTCACAGCAGCAACAATAACCCTTAAAAAAAGATGGCACCAACTAATCGTATGAACCCAGTGTGGACTGAGAAAAAGGGGTGGGGGAAGGAGGGAGTGGGAAAAAAGGCGGGAGTGGTCAGCTGGGACCAGTGTGGAAAGTCTCCCTGAAAAGCGTTATCGCAAAATCTCCTTGACAAAAAGCAAGATCTTTAATTGTTTCCTAAATGTCAGCAGGGAGAGGGCTTTGAGCCATCCCTCCTGCTGTGCTGAGCCACATCCTTGAGCAAAGAATGACAACAGATGTGACTCAGGCCCATTTGAATGCCCTGCCTTGCTGCAGTCTATGGTTTAGGCGCAAAGGGGGCTCATGGACTGAGAAGGGAGAGGGCCTCTCTCTGAAATTGGCGTGGGGGACACCCCCCATCCCCATCACAAGCTGCCCTTGTCTAGGCATCCTGTGGGATTACCACCACCCCAGGCCTATATATCATTACATATGCAGATACAAACTTCCATATATTAACAAAACAAACTAAATGAAGCCAAACGGGAGGAGAGGAGTAGGAGATGAAGCAAGAAGTGAAGTACAAGTCGTCTCTCTATGATGCTCGGTTTCCATGCCTAGAAACCTGTAATATCAGGGGGCATTTTTGTTTTCAGTCAGATAAAATAAAACCTTTGTGACGTTCACCTCCTTGAGGCACCTACGTTTTGTGCCCTCACAAAGGTTCCAGTTGTTTCCCTTTCACTGCCACCAGTGGATTACCTCAATCCACAAAATAAATGATGTTTGATCAGACACTTGTATGGTGAATGCAAACAAATCTTATTCATTAACGTGAAGTCAATTGAATAATCACAAAGGTTCTTCAGATGTACAGTGGTGCCCCGCATAATGGGTGGCCCATTTAACAACGAATCCGCATAGCAATGGCTTTTTGGCGATTGCAAAAGCGATCACATTGCGATGTTTTAAATGGTAAAACATCGCTTTGCGACGATCGGTAAGCTGTTTCGCTTACCGATTTTCGCATAGCGATGTTTTTTCTAACAGCTGATCGGTGGTTCCAAAATGGCCACCGGGTAAAAAAAATGGCCACCCACAGTGTTTTCACGCCCTTTCCTCGCTTACCGGGCAGCGAAAATGGTGGCCGTATGGAGGATTTTCGCATAACGGTGAGTTTTAATGCATTCCTATGGGCTTTTTTGTTCCGCATAGCGACGAATTCGTATAGCAACAATTTTTTCGGAATGGATTATTGTCGCTATGCGGGGCACCACTGTACATACTATTCTCTTGTGATATAATTTCCACCTTCTCTATTTATCTTAACCAGTCTCTAACTCAATCCCTATCTCTTCTGTCTCTGACTCTGACTAACTTACTGACTCACTTCTGACTGACTCTTGACTGACTAACTCTTCCTCTCAGGCTCTGCCTTTTAACCTCTCTCTCGGCTCCGCCTCTCAACAACATTTGCATAGAACATGAATAATAGATGACTTATACCTAACAAAGGGTGAACGCTACACCTACATTCTGGAATCTTAAAAAATATCAATTGTTGCCAATAGAAGTTAGAATTCCCACTTTTAAGTAGTCTTGTAAGGGGGAAGACAGCACAATGGACCCAATGTGGATGCACACTGACTGGTGAGCAAAAGATACACGCTTCCCATTTCCCCTGGCCTGCTGTTTGCTTTATTACTTGATTTATAAAATCAGGCATCTTTCCTAAACACTGGAGGAGTGCAGTGTTGCAGGCAGAAGCTCAGTGGACAAAGAGTCACTCTAGGTCTTACACCTCTCCCCTACCCCTGTCCTCACATCTGTGTGCATCACATCTTGACTTTTGTTTCACTGTTTTCAGGTCCGATGCTTACAGCAGAGAAACCAGGTGCTGGCAACGAAATGGCACTTCCTACAGAAGCACGTGGCCCTTCCCAAGAGAGATCTCAAGCCCCTCTTTGAGAACTGCATCTCCAACCTGGGCAAGCAGCTGGAGTTCCTGATGAGCAAAAAGGAACAAATAGAAGCAGAGCGGCACAAGATACGCCAGAAGGTTGAGGAGTTTAAGAGCAAGTAGGTGTTGGTAGCACTTGATCAAACATGAGTGAAATTTCATTCTGCCGAAGAAACCACTTCAGGGAGAGGATTTAGCAAAACAGGCAGAACCCTGCTTGTATCAGACAAAGAAAACCACACTTCCTCTATATTCCCACCAACCTTTTTGTTACATGGGAAAGGCATATTTGTGCTTTCATGAGACTATGAAGGTAAAGACACTTTAGAGCAGTGGTTCTTAACCTTTTGGTAAAAGTACTTTAGAGCAGTGGTTCCAAACTTTTATTAACCCAGACATTCTTGAACTGCAGTTCCCAGAACCTTCACCACTAGCAAGAACCAGTGCTTTAGAGCAGTGGTTCCAAACTTTTGTTAACCCAGACCTTCTTAAACTGCAGTTCTCAGAACCTTCACCACTAGCTGTGCTGGCCAGGGTTTCTGGGAGATGTAGTCCAAGAACCCTTGGGTTACCCTAGGTTGGGAATCCGTGCTTTAGAGACTTGATCATTTTGAATTCTGATGTGAAATGACTCAGTCCCTCTCAGTCCCCCCGGAGCAAACCATTCTGCAAATGGTCTATGAGTTTTCATAGTTCTCTGAATACGGCGATCCAGTAAATACTTGCCACACGTATTGGTCAAGATGTCCAGAAGACTAAAAAGACAGAGTTTGTATGGATTTTGATTTTAGATGGTACTTTCTAAATATAGGAAATCTATGTTTGGTTTCCACTCAGCTGTAAAGACAGCTGTCCTGTGAAGCTTTATAAAGAGAGTGGCCAACATTATTGCCTACTTGTGGGACATGGGTATCATATAACATAAAATGTCATTTATATAATTCCAGAGGCATTATGTTTTTCACGGGTGCCTCAGTGGATGAAAAGGAATCAGGGAGACCCTTTCTCTTGTTTACTGTGACATTTGCTCACTGAGATGAATCTCTCGTTTCCAACGAGGAATAAGAAAATAAGGAACAAGGAATGAGGAATGAGGAAATGTGACAGTAAGTGTAGCCATGATTTTACCATGTGGTTTAATACATCTTTTATGGGGATGTGGTGGAGCTGTGGGCTAAACCGCAGAAGCCTGTGCTGCAAGGTCAGAAGGCCAGCAGTCGTAAGATCAAATCCACGCAACAGAGTGCGCTCCTGTCGCTTTGTCCCAGCTCCTTGCCAACCTAGCAGTTCGAAAGCATGTAAATGTGAGTAGATAAATAAGTACCATCTCGGTGGGAAGGTAAAACGGCGTTCCCTAGTCACGCTGGCCACGTGACAATGGAAACTGTCGTCAGACTTGTGCTGGCTCTACAGCTTGAAAAACAGGATGAGCACCGCCCCCTAGAGTTGGACATGGCTGGACTAAAAATGTCAAGGGGAACCTTTACCTTTACCTTAATACATCTTTAATTGTCATGGTTCCATCCTCTGGAACCCTGAGAAATGTAGTTTAGGGAGGTACCCAAAATTCTCTACCACAGCTCAGGGGCGGGCACTAGACCTCAATGGAAGAGAATTCCAAAGACCTTTGGCAAAGTACAAGTCCCAGGAGTCCACAGGATGAAGCTAGGACAGCTAAAGAGACATAAAATCTGCTACTAGTGTGAAGTTTAGATACAGTCCAAATGAAAAGGCAAGGCAAATAGGACGAAAGTCTCAAGGCAACCATGTGTGTCTATCAGTCCCAAACACCCATCTGTTCATCGATTGCGACACAGATGTGATTTAAAACAGATAACATAGGGTTTTGAAAACAATGATTTTCTAGGATGCTTAGCCCTAATTCTTTCCACTGGATGAGGGCTGAAAAGCAATATTACAGTTCTCAGCTTTTTACACAAGGAGATGTTTACGTGCACAGTGTCCAATGCTTCAAAGTATCTTATAATACATTAAAATTCAGCACGGTGCTCTGGGAACAGGGCAAAATCATTGCCAGAAAGTATGCAAAGAAGTAAAAGTGAAAGGAGACAGATTTTTCCATGGCTGCACAATAATGATCCAGAAGTGGTCTAGGTGGGCATAGATAAGGGAATCAAGAAAGGGCCTGCAAAGATCTCAGGGGGCACCCGTGCCCTGTTAAATACTGGCATCATCTTCAGCATTCATGGGCAGTTAACATGAGGCTAAGCCAAGAAGCCCAAGCTATGCATCATAGTATATGTGGTAAATACTCTGGAAGTGACTTGATCTATCTCTCTACAATATAGCCGCAATCAAATCATTCATGTTCTTCCTTTAGATTAACTGCCAAAAGGGGAATTCTGGATATCCCATTCCTTCCCAACCTCTTTTATCTTCCCTCTCTTAATCTGCTGCCGTGAGCAAGGTGCCCAATGTGCTGTGTGCGTTAGATGTGGTTGCCTACATTATAAGGCAACTTGGATCATGCACAGTGAAAGCTTTGAAAGTGGATGGGAAACTTGCCCTGTGCTGTCAAGTCACATGCCGTGTTCTCTTCTCCACCATGTGTCAAAACAGGTATGAGGAAGAAATCAAGCAGCGCATGGCCACAGAGAACGATTTTGTTCTACTGAAGAAGGTAAGACATTCCACTTGCTGCAGAGGGAATGGTTGGCTTGACATGCCATCTAAGGATCCATCTGTGGATCCTGTTTAACAAGAGTTAACAATGCAAGAAGAGGAGGGCAAGACAGACAGAGCTCTAGAAAAACCCACGTTTCCATCCACCCATGCTTAAAGATTGCAAATTCTCTCGTTGCCTTACAGAAGCAACCACACCCTTTCCCTCTTTGTCTGCCTTAGAAGAATACATTTCCTAGAATCAAAATCAGACAGGAATTAACAAAGTGACTATTTCACCATAAATATCTCAGGTTCATAGTCCAAGCAAAAGGGGCACTTCATTCCACCCCTGTTGAGTGAGATCTTCCTCTGCTCAGACCATGTCTGTAAAGCTGGCACTGGAATCATTTCCCTTTTTGAGTGAGGATTCCATGCTTGTGGTCCAAGGACTTTAAAGGTGAACTCATCTAGAATATGTGCTGCCTCTCTTTCTCCTGACCTGTCCCTTTCCCTGTCCCATCCATATGCAGTGTTAAGGGCTGATTGCAGTGATGAAGCCCAAGTTTGCAACTGGTGAGACTGGTGAAGGATGCAGGAAGTTATTGAAAATTTTCTCA